AAGGCACCCCCATACTTAATTAGGGATTCAAGCAGATAGGAAATTCCATTTGACATTATGGAGACATTTCCTGTATGCACATAATAGCGTAAATTATGCTGTCATGTGTATACAGGAAATATTTGATGGAAATTCATTAAATACCATGAATGTTACATAGCTTTCTGAACATCTGTCCCAACAATGATAGGTTCTTCCAGCAGGATAATGCATCATGTCATCAGTTGCCCAGATTTGCTTTTAGAAGTGTTTGTGGAGAATAACACGTAATGCTGTCTCCACATTTGACCAATGAAGCATTTATGGGATGTAGTGAAGAGCCTTATTCACATGCAAGATTCTGCACATACAAATATCAGAGAGCTGTTGACAATTATCATGACAGCTTGGTTCAACATATCTCTGGAGCTCTTCCTACCACTTGTGAAATTGATGGCACATTGAATTGCTGCAATTCATCAGGTCAGAAGGGAACCTATGCACCTCTCCCATGACACTGTGTGTGTGTGTGTGTGAGTGAGAGACCATAGTTGATTTGTCAGGAAGGAGGCTTCTTGATGTTATTGGTCTGGAGGGGGGACAATCCCAGCATGCGGCACTTTTGGAAAGTACCTGGAAACCATACCACAGGTTGACTCAAACCCTGTGAGTGAAATTGGGTAGACAGAACACTTGAGGATTTGTCAGCTGTTCTAACATGAAGTCAAGTCATTGTGACCAAGGGTTTGAGTGTGCTGGCCTTGTTCAGATTGTTGATCATGTTAGATAACACGCTCTCTCCCAGAAACTGTAACTAAGGTCTGCTCAGCATAGTTGCAGTATAAACCACAGGTGGGCTCTGTGGGTGTTGAACAAACACAAATGTGCCTGAGTGAGCATCTGAATTAGGGATTGACTAGCTGCCCTAGTAGAGGGTATCCTCGAATACGAGTGGCCAGATATATATATATATATATATATATATATATACACACACACACACACCCGAAACTCTGGAGCTGAGGTGCTGAGTATAACATCAGTCATCTAAGTCACAAATTTATATTTGTATTAATCCTATATAAATAAAATGACAGGCTACCCATTTCTGAACACACCCATTTGCTAGGGTGGTTAGACAAACCCTGTTGCAGATGCCTGTTTAGTTACATTTTTGGTCGTTCAGCACCCATAGAGTGCCCTTGTGGTTTATACTGCAACTATGCTGAGCAGACCTTATTTAGTTTCTGGGAGAGAATGCATATTTTGGTATGACCAACACACAAACAATTGGTCACAATGACTTCTGACTTTGTGCTAGCACAATCATTGATGCCTTCTGTTTTTCAAAGGTTTTCTCCAAGTCAACATCAAAAAATCACCTCCATGAGAAACATACCATGGTGAGATTTTGAACCCAGGTTGAAAAACCACTTGACCATACATCCAATTGCATAAAAAAAAAAAAAAAAAAAAAAAAAAAAATTGCTATATTTATGGAAGAAGAGCATTCAATATAGGGTGTGTATCAGCTCAAACAATACAGACATAGAATTAACACTTTACTTATATATCTCACATGCACACACAAAATGAGGGTGGTGAAAAGTTCCAAATCCAATAAAACATCAGAAATTTTAATTCTTTTGATTTTAGAGGGAGGGGGCAATCATTACTTGATTAGGCTGATGATTTTTGGTAACACCTGCTGAACACACACAAAGGATATTTATCTGTAAACTAAAGTACCAAAAATAACCTAAGACTACTACGTAAAGTCTCATTCCTCCATTCACCTGAATAAAGTTTGCTACGTAACAGGTGTGAGTGAGTATGTGTGTGTATATATCTCTAAATGTAAAAGTGCAAAAAGAATATAAATTCAAATTCATAACATTCATAGCATTAATTTAAAAAAGGGCTCAATACAAGAAATAGAGCAATAAATATTTATTAAAATTTATTATTGCATGTTCCAATGTAACAGTTTATAATACATATATATTTATAATAAAAGAAAGAACTGTAAGATATATAATCCGGTATTCTTATTAATATTTTCATAAAACAATGCTCAATGCAAATTTACAGGGCATAAATATTATAAATTAACCGATTTAAAAATATGGTTCTATCGCTACACAGGAAATACCATGTTTCAAAAACAGAAACTAAAAACTTCAAATTCAATTATATAATTAAAGTTGTATTACATTTTCAAGTGAATTTTGGAATAACTTATATCAAGGAAGTTCACTTTTTTCAGCTTATTGTAATTTTTAAGTTCTAACAGACAGATTGAGCAACACCAGCATTGAATTGGTATGGGATTTTATTCTTTGTTTGATCATTAAAATCCTTATCAGTAACCAGTCTTGTTCTTACATCACCTTTGGGCACTTGCACTCTTCATCTACTGCAGATGTCTGTTCAGAATTGTCATATTCTTAATATCCCCTTACTACTATTGACCGAGTAAAACTTTGAGCTGTTAACCACCTCGAGAATAAAAATGTTTTCATCTTTCTGGCTTCAGCAATTATTTCCATGACTTGCCACAACTACACTACTTTTTTACCTATTGCATCACATTTATTATCCATAAAAAAAGAAAGAAAAAAAAAAACCTAAATTATGTTGAATAAAAAAATAAAACTGGAGGATACCGGTTTCATACCCCATGGAGTCTCATACATCCCAAACTATTAAAAAAATGCAGAGTAATTTTGAGAGAGATGGGGAAAGTACATATTACAAAAAAGTGTATTTACAAAGAAGCTTATCGTAGCATGGCACAAAGCAAGCAAAAAGTATGGATCAACTGAAACACTTTAAAAAAAAAAAAAAAAAAAAACACACAACTAATTATTAATCCCATTTGCAGTCTTAGCACTCAAGCGCGAATGACGTACATTTCTGCTGCAATATTCATTAGTTATGTTATAATAAGCAAATTAAATACATTCTTGAATTAAAAATCGATTTGGACTAAGAGTGGTAAGGATCGGTATCCCACTTGATGTCCGCAGTAGAGAGAACGAAGACATTTCATTATTTCAATAAAAAAGTGACCTTGAGTCGTGCGTCGTATAAAGTAGCTCCCTCACCACTTGTATCACAGCACTTTTTTTTGTTTTGGTGAGGTTAAAAAGAATTTAAAACCTATCACCATAACAAGAAAGAAATACTACAAACACACACGTACGCAAGTAGAAATAAGTAAAACTGAACATAAATCAAATTTTGTAAACCGGACAGAAGAAAAAGAAAAAAAAAAGAAGCTTTCTAAAGCTTTCCCCCTTCTGAGTTAGTTGATACTGATAGCTTACTAGTTTTAGCAGGGAACTAAAAAAAAAAAAAAGTGACTCGAGTCACAATAAGTTAAAGAAGATTAAAGAACAAAATTGGAAGAAATAAAGAAAAAAGGCGATCGTGAATTTTCAGCATTTTAAAAATAAGCGACAATAAACAATAAAAAAAATTACAATAAGAAAAATTCGTTTGTACAATTTCTTTATTTCTTAAAACTACTTAAAAAATAATTTAAATGGCAAGATTTTAAGTTTTAAGGAAATTACATTTTCTACCCTAGGTAGAAGATACCCACCTTTTTTCTTTTTTTTTTTAATTTATTTATTAAAAAAAAAATAAAGAATATTATTACAGAAAAATATTTTCAGTCTGAGCTGATTATTAAGGGCAAACCAAAAGATCGTTACACCTCAAAAAAAAATGCGGCCATAAGGAAGCAATTTAGTTCGTTTATTCAAAATTTGACCTTTATTTTGGTTCTTTATTCTTGACGACAATATGAATTAGATTCCTTTTAAACGCGAACATATGAAGTTATGAACAAATAAACCGGTGGTAATATCGAACATGTGCGATACAAAGTGAAACCGAATTTATTTCAACATCCAAATTCTAATAGCAAGGGTGACCTTGAAACCAAAGAAACAAATTTATTTTCCTTTCGCTAAAACGAAGTTTTACACTTAAAATAACAGAAGAAGAAGCAACAGTGGAAGAGAAGTTGAGAGGTCAACGACACTTTCTTGAACAGTGTCATTTATAGTCGTATACTAAAAACACAAATAATAATTTGCCGGCTCTTAGAAATACTACAACTACACATTTACTAGACGAAAAGTCAATGGGTCATGCAAAAATCACATGTTTTAATTAGAGAGAATATAAGGAAAAGAAAGAGCAGACACTGTTATAAAGTAAACAAAGTAAATGTAATAATGAATTTAAAACTAAAGACCGTTTAGACGTTGAATTTATATAGATTAAAAAAAAAAAAAACAAAAACTAAAAGATAAGAGAAAGAAAAAAAAAAGAACGAATTATTTGTCATTCATAAATCCTGTTCTGCTTGCTTGCGTGCTGACTCAAATTATTATGCAATAACTTTTAACATAGCGTCATGTCATAGTTGTTTTTTGTTTTTTTAAATCAAACTTAGAAATACCTTTTTTGTTATTTAACAAAATTAAATAAATTTGAACATTTTAAAAGAACAGATTACAAAAATATTTTTAATTATTTATTTTAGAACTGATGTTTTTAAATCAGGTTAATAACCCAGACAAATCCTGTCATATCTTTAACAAAAAAAATAAAATTTAAAATTAACAGTAAGACGAAGTGTCTCATTATAGATAAGAATTAAAAATGCCTTTTTTTACCGAAAAAAAAAAAATTTAAAAGAAAGGAAAAAGGTGTATCGTTTTGTTTTTATTCAGTAAGAATTAATTAAAAATTCTCTCCCACGACTTACTGTTGACATTACTAAGGCAATCTAATCAACCGATTTTAACAAATCAAAAGTTATGAAACTGGAAAGGAAAAAAAACGTGATTTCCAATCGAAAAAGGAAGATAATATGAAAAAGAAAAGAAAATGTTTATTAAATGCATTAATTCCGTGTTGATAATGAGCACCTAGAAATAAAAGATAACCAGGAATCCAATTTTCCTATAAATCTCTATATATTTCTTTAAAAATAAAATCCTTACTTGAAGATTCTAACTCTTTAGCGGCTTTTGCTGCCCTTTCCAAAGCAGCTGAGTCGAATCTATAAGCCTCCATTTTCGAAGCGTGAGAATCGCCGGAATCATCCTTTCCTTTACCGCCGGAGCCACCAGATGATGGGGGAGGCATTGGAAACTGTGGAATTTCCCCGATTGGTTGGTCTTTCTTAATTCCGAATAACCAAGACATTGTGATGAGTGAACGTGTGATCTAAGAAAAATCTCTTTTCCTTGCAGGGAACACTAGCTCAACACAACGTGCTTTCAACACGTGTACCCAATGGTACACACAGCGCATGCTCAGGTTCTCTCAACAGATTGACCTCAACGAGTTCCCTCCCTTATTCCAATGCGCTTAAATCTTCACGAGATATCCATGTAAGAGAGTATTTTTTAATTGGATTTTTTTCAATTAATTATTTAAAAGTTTTTTTTAATTATTTATTAAAATTATTTATATTTCTAATTTAATTTTTTTAATTTAATTTAATGGTTGCAATAATTTTAGTTTATAAAAATTATTATTAAAATTAATTATGAAAAGTCTATCGTTAATTTTACCGCTCAAATCAATTTTCGCATAACAAACACTGAATTATCTCCCTTACATTTCCTTGACATTTTTTTATTTTAAATTGCCATATCTCTTCAGGTCGTAGGCAACCATGACTCTTCATAGATTCCCCTTTTTATTCATTTTGTAAATCACCATTCCGACTCGGTAGATAATAGAGTGATTTCCTGTTTCTTTCTTCACGGTTCGGGGTTTTTCTGATTACCATTTAAGGCTATAGAACCCAGTGTACCCTGCTATTTAATTTAACCCATAGTGTGGACAAGAAATAATTGAAACTGAAACAGTAAGAAATGATTGTATATGAAAAATGTTTTAGATATATTTATTCTACTTTAGTTTTCCAAAATATCTTTATGCTTTGTGTCTATCTTTGACCATGTTTCCAAAATCTAAAGTCTTGCATTAGATCCTAAATTGTTTTCCAAAGAAGTCAAAATAACATTTTTTCTTGCTTTTATGATTTATTTGTGCTAAAATATCCCATATAAATTGAAACATACACATTAATTCTCCTTTACATAAATTATATTTCTGTTTTTACTCAATGAAAAAAAATAGTTCTGTCTATATTTCTGAGATGAGGTATTATGTACACTATTTACATTATTCAAATTATTGTCCTCATTTTTGTTGCCATACTTATCACAACGTTTTGTCCGTTGTATGCTCCAGCCTTCTTCAGGTGGTTGGGATGTCAAACTGAACCCTTTATTTTGCTCACTGAAGTAGACTGTTCTAGTTCCATGTCTAATGGATGTCAGTTATCAGTTATCTCCTGTTAATTCCCCTCTGCAAGTTCTCCACCGCCTTAACCAGGTATTGAACTCACACCTCTTTTGGGTCCTGTCACTGGATCTAACCAACACCTTTATCCACTATGCCATGTCCTCTCCTGAGTAAAAACCCCTATAGAGGAGAACATGACTAAAGACTGTGTGTATGCCATTCCGTGCAACTGCAGAAAGAAATATAAAGGAGAGACAGGCCACTCCCTTAAGGTAAGGCTTCAAGAACACCAGAAAGCTGTAACATGAGGGGAAGAGGAAAAATCAGGCATGGCTGACCACATATGGAGAGAAAAGTGGGATCAGATTGAAATCATTGACAAAGAACATCATTGGAAAATTTGTAAACTTAAGAAATCAGCACATATCTCCTGAGCCGACCAAGCATAGACATGAATACAATATGGGAACCAGTAATAAGGAGTGTCAGAGAAAAGCAATAATAACAATGAAAATTGCAATATAAGCACTGGTAAAAAACATACAATGATAACAGCAAAAATTCCACTATGAGCACTAGTAAAAATGGTTGCTGAAGTTATTAAATTTATAAGTCCCAGAAATTCATATACAGATGTCCTTAAGGATACATGGCACAGTAGATAAAGGTGTTGGCTAGATCCAATGACAGGACCCAAAAGAGGTGTGAGTTCAATACCTGGTTAAGGCAGTGGAGAACTTGAAGAGGGGAATTAACAGGAGATAGCTGATAACTGACATCCATTAGAACTTGAACAGTCTATCCCAGCGAGTGAAATAAAGGGTTCAGTTCAACATTCCAACCACCTGAAGAAGGCTGGAGCATACAATGGATGAAGCGTTTTGATAAAAATGGCAACAAAGTTGAGGACAATAGTCCAAATAATGTCAAAAATAGTTGAAATAAATTACTATATTTTTGGTCTATTTTAAATGAATGGCATTTCAACTATGAATATGTGGTAAAAAATGTAGGGGAGTTAATTCAGTGTTCGCCATGCAAAAATTGTATAAAGCAGTAAAATAAACAATATCTATTAAATTTTCTGAATGGATCAAAGTATATAAAATTTGTAGATTTTGGAAAAAATATGAATTTCAATTTTAATGAAAAAATTAAGGAAGAGAGCCAACATGTATAAATTTTTTAAATCGTTCAAAAGAGAAATTATCAATGTTCTGGTAGATAAAAAGAAAAATTATCAATGTTATAAAAGGTAAGAAAAAAGAAATCATCAAAATTCTGATAGGTAAGAAAAAAGAATTATCAATGTTATGATAGGTAAGGAAAAACAAGTTAATTTAAAAAATAAATTATTACTACTATGATAGATAAGAAAAAATAAATTATCAATGTTATAGCAGTTAAATAAAAAGAAATTTTCAATATAAGGAAAAAAGAAATTATCAGTGTTATGAGAGGTAAGAAAAAATAAATTATCAATGTTATGAAGACCTTTATATTAGAACTTCTTTATGATGTTATTTATTTACCCACCTTTCTGCAAGGGCAGAATGACAAATGGTTAATTTTAAATTGAAGTCCTGTCTATACATTTGGATAGTTCCAGAAATTGTCCACTTCCTTTTGAGTTCAGCCATCAAGGATTGGCCCTAAATCTAGTTCATTAGGTATAACGTGATAATGGACCATTGGAAGTGGACATAGATTTTTCCACTTCTATATGTTAAAGGCTGAAAAAGGATAGGATTTATCCCCTCCACCATACTAGGGAAATGGGACAAATGGTCAAGATTAAAGTAACATGTATATCTGCAAGCAGTTTTAGAAATTGTCCAGTTCCCTCAGCACTTCCTTTTTGGAAAGCTGCAAAAAATAAGGATTGTCATTTTGTTCTTTCATTCTAACTGGAAGATGTCTACTGAGCAAACAGGCATTAACAATTTTAATATAAAAACACATAGGAATTTGTTTTTCATCCTGACCTGAAGACGCCTACCTAATGAAAGTGAAACACTTTGTCAATAAAAAGCTTTTCTACTTTGTCTCATTTCTACACACACACACACACACACACACATCTATATAATAAATGAGAATGTCAGTGTATCACTGTGTCATGCTTTTCAACTTAAAGGGACACAATTTTCAATAGCTCATGTTCAAATGAAAAAATTACTGTTCTCAAATTACAGTGTTTCAAAATAAAATTGTCCATGCTTTCAACTTTATTCCTAGAGACTGTAGTCTATCAAATCATACTATTTTGGAATCAGGTCAACTCCATGAGAAAATTAAAAACATTCCCGGCCAGATCTGGACCCGCAATCCTGAAATTTTGGATTCACAAATTTTCATTACTGTGCTTGTTTTTGGTGATTTTTTACGACACATTTTTTTGTATGATAACAATTTTTATAATGCGGAGATAAATTTGGCAATAACTGAAATTAATTATGAAATCCAGCAAAAGTCATCCAGGAAATAAAAATAGTTGTTTGTATGAAAAGTAAGGACCTACATACATCAAAATGTCTTTAAATTAAGTGGCAGCAGAAGAATTATCATTGAACTTTTGAAAAGTAAGCTTATATATTAATCCAATACTTAAATGCAGAGATCAATTTTGAGTTCTTCCATAGTTTACTATTGCCTATCACACCTTCTCTCTACTTGTTGTGATGAAGGCTCAATCAAGAGCCCTCTGCAGAAGCTAGCTTAAAAGCTGCTCAATAGGGTAGCTTTTAAGCTAGTATATATAAATTATCTTCTTTTTGAAAAAAACCTCATGCAACCACAATAATATATCCATGACACACACATCTATATATGCGTGTGTGTTTGTATGATGGATATATTGTGCATGAGGTTTTATCAAAAAGAAGATAATTCAATGTTGTATGAGACATGTTGTATGCCTGGGGACTCAAAAGTTCCCCAGAAAGAAAATGAGACATGTCTTCTCCTGACAACATTTACTGTGGTTGAAAAGAGAAAGTGGAGGGACTGAATTTTGGGCCTTTTAGTTTTATATTGCTTCATACAGCTTCACCTAGTGGGCATTCACAGAAGTCCTCTGGCAAAGGTGGGATAATCCAATACTAGAGTCAACTTTCAGCTGACTTTCATTATTGTTATTTTATGTTAATATTATGTAAATATGTTTTTTGTTAAATCAATAAATGCTCTGTATATTTGAACTGTTTATATATATTTACTTTGACTGAGTCAGATCTCATTACTTGATACAATAGAAGTATACTACAAAATGTCATAATGCCAATAGAGTAATTTTCACAAAGCAAATGCTTTGAAGCTTTCAGCCTCATGCTGCAAACATTATATGCCATCTGTGACATACACTTATTGCGTAATGAAGTTGATATGAAGTTGATATGATATAATATATTGGAATATTTCAGATTTTATCAGTTGTCATGTGACATCTGCTAGAAAGAGAGATAAGATTTACACAATTGATTTGGGTTTATAAGGTCAGTGATTAAAAATTAATCGGCATTTTTTCATTCTATAGCCAAAAAAACTATTTACAATCCATAAATGTTTAAAGCAATTTATTGATAATTCATAAATTTCATGATGGAACTATAAAAAAAAATGAAAAAGAGTATGAAAATAAAATAAAATAAAATGAGTGATGGGTAGATTTAAAAAGAATTAAGTTTAAATATCAAATAAAACTGAAAAAAAACTAATATAATAAAACAAAAGCAAAGAAGAATATAATAAAACTGAAACAATGACAGAATGAAAGTGAAACAAAGAATAAAAAATAACAAAATAGAACAGAAACAAAGAATAACAGA